GGGGTCCAGGAAGGCGTAAAGCTCGCAGCCTATATTCCATCAGATTCCCCCCCCCCCCCAGCAGACAGACGCTCCGCTCCCTCCCCTCGCCCGGGAGGGGGGCTTTGGGACACGCCCCATGAAAAAGACGTCCCTCCCACACACCCAGAAATGGCCACAAGGGGGTGCACGGAGCCTTATCGAGAAGGATCTCCTTCAGCTAGGTGCCCCCCCCAGAGGGAGGTCACAGGGGCATGCCCCATCCCCCCAGCTCCCAGAGCCCGGGGCAGGGGAGAATCCACAGACAGGAAACGGGAGGGCTCGAAGGGAACCAATTCTTCGTCTTCCTCCAACCCCAACCCAAAAGTCCACGAAATCTGGACCGACGCCCAAGCAGATGCCCCGGCCCCGGGAAGGGGGCTGCAGAGCCTCGATACACTGCCCCTCCTAAGAGACTCTTTACTTCGCAGAGGGCCCCAAGTAAGTCCCACCCCGAGGCGTCTATCACGATCGCCGGGGAGGCGGGTTGGGGGCGTCCAGGGAAGGGTCGGAGCCTCCTTCCCGCCCCCCCGGGGCGCCCCTCCCCCGGCCGGGGGCGGGGCCTTTGTCCCACACGTGGAGCCCGCCGGGCCACCGGGCACGGCACACCCCCTCCCCACCCACCGCGCCGCGGCCACGTGGGGGCCAGGCCGGAAGCGCCCCCAGCCCTCCCCGACGTGGGAGGGGGCACGAGACCCACGGTTCGGCCGGCTGCCGCAGGCCCCCGAGAGCTAGGGAGCCCGCACCCCAAAGGGTGCCCCCGGATCCGGAGCATGCGGCGCCCCCTCCCTACAGCTAGCGGCCTTGAGCCCCCATCCGCCTATTCGGAGCCCCTTCTCCACGACGGAGGCATAAAACACCGACCTCCAAACCGCCCCCGCCCCCGCCGGCGCTCCAGGCACTCACCTCCATGATGCAGTTCGCGGCCTCGGCTGCCGCCATCTTCACCCGCACCTACTCCTCCTCCGGCCGCCGAGACCCCCCCCTTTCTCCGCACTCCCCCGGGACCGTCTTATACCGGAGGGTCCACGGCCCGCCCACCGCGACCCCGCCAGGAGTTCTCATTGGCCATAGAGGCGGCCCGTCTGGGAATACCATTTATCAATTGGGCAAGAGAGAAGCCCATCAAAGTTCGGGGGCCCGCCCAGTCTGGCGTGCAGAGCCCCGCCCCCTTAAGTCGACCTGGATGGGAAAGACGGCCCGTCTATCGCAAGCAGCGCGACTGGTGATTGGGCAAAGTCAACCAGGAGTTCCCGCCCCTTCCCCCACCAGCACCGCCTCATAACTTCCCGGCGGGCCCCGCGCTAAGCGGACATCTTGAAATAGAGCTGTCCATCACCAAAACGATCCGCCTCTTAATAGCTGCTATAGGCTTATCCGAGTGTGACGTCACGAGGCCTTTGGCCAGCTCTCGCCGAGCTGTTGGCCTCGAGGAGAACACGACGATTGGCCCATGTGGAGGAGGGAGGCAGGGCTTTAGGCTCCATCGATTGGCTCGAAAGAACTGTCACTCATCGCCCATTCGGTGGATTCTCCCAGCCGGAGGGGGGGCTCCAGGAGGAACAAGGGAGCTTGTGCCCATTTACCCGAGAGAAAAACTGAAGCAGGGTGAGGGCAGAGAGAGGGGGGGCTTGTCCGGGGTCCCGAAATAAGTCAGGACTAGGACTCAGGCGTCGAGGTATTTAACCTCTTGCCCTCTACTTAACTGTTCCAAGTTTTATAAACCCAGAGAACCCACTTAAGCCACTTGGCCTTTGCCAAGTCCCTCCCATTGCCGGGAACACGCCCCTTGCTTCGGCCAACTCCTATACGTCAGTCGGGGCCCAGTTTAGACGCCACCTCCTCCAGGAAGGGTTCCTCGACCTGCAGGAAGTTACTAGTTGGACGAAGATGAATGCAACTTGTGGAATATATCCATCCCCCCAGATCGTTCCTTTATGACCCTTTCCAGTCAATACTTTTCCCACCCAATCCCAGAAGGAATCACTATTTTTTGTCACTATAGCGTAGCTTTCCTTTTCTAAAATTTCATAGGCATGGAATTATACCGTATGTGCTCTTTTATGTCTGTCTTCTTTCATTCAGCGTAATGCTTTTGAGATCCACGTTGTGGATCCTTTTTCTTGCCAAGAAGGATTCCACTGTATGACTGTATCACAATTTCCTTATCCATTTTGCTGTTGATGGGCAGCTGGGTGGTTTCCAGATTGGGGCTGTTACGAAGAAAGTGGCTGTGAACGTTCGTGGACAAGTCTTTCTGTGGACACACACTTTCATTTCTCTGGGCTAAACCTAGGAGCACATGGCTGGGTCGTATGCTAGGTGTATGTTTAACTTTCTGAGAAACTGCCAAAAAGTTTTCCAGGGTGTTCGACCATTTTGCATTCCCATCAGTGATGCATGAGCGTTCCAGTCGCTCCACATCCTCTCCAGCTCTTCCTAAGATGGGTCTTTAATTTTAACCATTCTGGGGGGGTATGAAGCACTATCTCGTGGTTCTCATTTGCATTCCCCTGACCCTAATGTTGAGCATCTTTTCATGTGCTTATTGCCCATTTGTGCATCTTCTTTTATCAAGTGTCTGTTCAAGTCTTTTGCCCACTTTTACAGACCCGTGCTGTTTTCTTGTTCACAAATTGTAAACGTTCTTTATAGATTCTGGAGACAGGTTTCTGTCAGATAGTATCTACTTTGAATATTTTCTCCCAATCTGTCATCTGCCTTAAATTTTCTTAATGTTGTCTTTGGAAGAGCAGAGATTTTAATTTTTTTTTTCTCCCCAAAGCCCCAGGACATAGTTGTATCTCCTAATTGTAAGTCCTTCTAGTTCTTCTCTGTGAGACGCCGACACAGCATGGCTTGAGGAACGGTGTGTAGGTTGGCGCCCAGGATCCAAACTCTCAAACCCCAGGGCCACCAAAGTGGAGTGCATGAACTTAACCACTCGGCAAGGGGGCTGGCCCAGATTTTAAATTTTTATGAAGTCCAATTAACTACAACAGCCCACATCTTGACCCCTACTATACTGCATTTTTTTTTTTTTTGCTATTTTTCCAAATGTTTCAGCAGATTCTTTTAACCTTTTTTTTTTTCTGATTTCCAAGTATGTTGATCCAATCAATTACTTCTGCTCTGTGCTGCTGCAGAGCAAAAAATTGTAACAAACTCTCTCTTCAACACTACGGAATAGCCTAATGTCATTGGAAAGGAGACGGCATGGGGCAGGGGGCTGCCTGGGTAGAGTTCAGGGGAGAGAGCCTGTTGGAATCAGAAATGTGGGCGTCGTCAGCATCAAATTCTGCCTTTTCCAATATGGCAGCCACTCACCCCATAGGGCGGTGAGCAGTGGACTGTGGGAAGTCTGAACTGAGATGTGTTGTGGGTGTAAGACACACACTGGATTCTGAAGATTTCATAGAAAAAAAGAAACTGTAATAGCTGAATATTTTTTATCTTGATTACATGTTGAAATGATTCTATTTTGGATAAATGGGGTAAACAAAAATTGTTAAAATTCATTTCCCTGTTACTTTTCATTTTGCTTTAACGGGTTCTTAGTGCATTCTAAATAACATATGTGGCTCATATTATATTTCTATTGGCCAGTCCTGCACTAGGTCAGACCACCAAATGGACAAGATCACTGGGGAGGTTGTGTATTTTGGCCCAGTGGTGTCGTGGTTGAGTTTGTGCACTCGGCTTCGGCGGCCCAGGGTTCATGGGTTCAGATCTTGGGCACAGACCTGGCACCACTCATCAAGCCATACTGAGGCAGCATCCCATATATAAAACAGAGGAAGATTGGCGCAGATGTTAGCTCAGGGCCAATCTTCCTCACCAAAAAAAAAAAAAAAAAGAAAAGAAAAGAAATGAAACAAGTGTGGTGAGAAAAAGGTACACAGACATCTAGCAGGTGTTCTTGACCTTGGTCAAAACTGAAAATTCAGGCATCCTTGAGCTGTGATGGTAGAATCTTAGATCTCTCACTAAACTGGAACTTGGTCCTTCCTTCAAGTAAGAATTTGGGCAACATCTCAAAGTAGGATTTGCTCCGATGGCCTGGACCCCAATAAAAATCACAGATGCTTGCATGTTACATGACAGTTGCTGCAGAGACTCCTGTGGGCAGAATTCTAAGATGGCCCGCATGATCTCTGCCCCCTGGTGTTATATACCAAGAAGTAGGCTGGGCTGTATGACAAAGGAGATGGATGTCACTCTCTTGATTAGGTGGCCTTATATGGCAAGAGTGAAGAGACTTTGCACATGTAATTAAGGCCCCAAATCAGTTATCTTTAAACTGATCAAAAGGGAGGTTATCTAAGGTGGGCCTGACTTAATCAGATGAAGCCTTTTACACTGGGGCTGAGGGGACCAGCCTGGTGGTGTAGTGATTAAGTTCGGCATGCTCTGTTTCAGTGGCCTGGCTTCATGGGTTTGGATCCCAGGTGTGGAGCTACACCACTCATCAGCCATGCTGTGGTAGAGACCCGAATACAAAATAGAAGAAGACTGGCATGGATGTTAGCTCAGGGCCAATCTTCCCCAGGAAAAACAAACAAACAAACAAATAAATAAAAGGGTAAACCCCCTTCTCTGAAGCCACATTGATCCTCCTGCTGGTCCACCAAAGAAATGAATTCTGCCAACAACCATGTGGACTGGGAAGAGGACCCCGGGCCTCAGATGAGACCGAAGCTGAGACCCTGATTGCAGTGTGGTGACATGCTGAGCAGAGCACCCGGCTAAGCTGTACCCACGTCCCTGCCCCACAGAAACTGTGAGGAATAAATGTGTTACCGTAAGCCGCTAAATTGTGGGATTTGTTACATGGCAGTAACTAACACACCTCAAAATGTCATTCCTGCCCTACATTAATTAAGTAACATTAATCAGTTAACATCAATCAATTCACATTAACCTTAATTAATTAACCTTAATTAATGTTAATGAAGAAGCATGGCTATTATTATATACACTCATTTTTATATTAGTATTGAAAACTTTATTTCCATATACAGTTGATTCTTATCATTTGTGGCATATGTTCTATAAAGTCACCGTGAACAGTGGGCCATCGTTCCTAAGGGAAATTCAGAGTCAGGTTCCTGCGAGCTTCTGGTCACAACACTGTCAACCCATCAACACACAACCTTATTTGACGTGTTTTCTGTTCAAAGACGTCTTATTTAATATATATTGTGGATTCATTCCCAGTGAACTCACAGCCAACAGCCCTGTAACTCGTGCCTCAATGAAGCTGGCTAACACGTATTTTCTCCATAAGGCACGTGACGGCCTTCTTGCGCTTAAGATCGCTAGCCAGCACTTCAGCACTATGCTTCGGGCTGTTGTAAACAGTGAAATCACCACAGAAAGCACAAAAATGTGAAAAATGTGGCACTAAAAAGATTGTAAAAAGGACACGTGTTTATAGTAGGAAAGCTGAAACAAGAAGGCATGTGTCGCCTTGCTGGACCTCAGCGGAGAACGTGCTCATCAGGCATCAATCCTTCTGTGGCTCTGCCTGTACGAATGCCCGCCAGTGACCACTAAAGCACCGGGAGTGTTCACTTGGGGATTATGAACAAATTTTCGCGAGTAGGTCAATTCGCAAAGACGGAATCCGCGAATAAGGAGGATCGACTGTAATTGGTTTCTTTTGTAGTCCTGTATGTTTCCTGTTATGCATTTACAAACATAGTTCTGTGAAGGGAGCTGGAGCCCTAAAAAGGTGACAAACTCGAGGTCTGCAGGTGGATGAGGAGAAACCAGCCAAAAAGGCTCGGAAGGAGCCGTGGGAGGAGAGAAATGAGAAGAGAGTGGCATTCAGGACGCCCCGTGAAGGAAGACTGTAGCTTTCTTCTGGAACTAGCTGGAAAGACTCCAGCCCATCAACACAGGATTAGCTGGAATCAATCAATCACGCAATAGGGAAAAATATAATTAGCTGGAATCATCTTTACAGATATCCTCAAATATGCTGTTTATCCAGGCGACAGGTGCTCTCACAGGTGCTCCAAATAAATATTTCTAGAATAAATGAATTGGCTCTTTCCTCAACTGATAAACCAGAGAGATCTCTGAACCAAATCTCTTCTACTTAGAATGTACTTCTTCAGTAAAAGGATAAACTATTAAATACTTGAAAATGTTTTTAATATGAAAAAATGGTAAACAATTTCTTTTTGGCAAAAACAGGGAGGGCAGCCACCACCCCACAGCCCTGAGTGGACTCGGAAGGCTTGGAAAAGGCACAGAGAGAGAGGGACGTGTCTCGTAGCAGCTTCTCAGGAAAACCTCAGTCCAGGGGTAAGTTCAAGTCCACGGGTGACACGGCCAGGATGCCCTCCTGGAGGGAAGAGTGGCAGAGCCGTGTGAGCAGAGAGGCGCCCTCCACTCACAGCGGGATCCACAGCAGCCCAGAGAGCAGAGACAGGGAAAGGAGGAACGAGGGAGAGGAAGGGACAGACCCAGAGAGAGGGGGACAGGGACCCAGAGAGAGGGGGACAGGGACCCAGAGAGAGGGGGACAGGGACCCAGAGAGAGGGGGACAGAGACCCAGAGAGAGGGGAACAGGGACCCAGAGAGAGGGGGGGACAGGGACCCAGAGAGGGGGACAGAGACCCAGAGAGAGAGGGGGACAGAGACCCAGAGAGAGAGGGGGACAGGGACCCAGAGAGAGGGGGACAGGGACCCAGAAAGAGGGGGAGAGAGACCCAGAGAGAGGGGGACAGACCCAGAGGGAGGGGAACAGGGACCCAGAGAGAGGGGAACAGAGACCCAGAGAGGGAGGGAGACGGGGACCCAAAGAGGGGACAGGGACCCAGGGGTGGGCGGGGACAGAGTCCTGGGGGGGGACAGACGGAGCCCCAGGGTCGTGGGCAGAGCACTGGGGGGGGACAGAGACAGGGCACAGAGAGGGCGATGGAGTCCCGGGTTGGATGACCACGTGCCCGGCTCTGTGTCCCTGTGCTCGTCCCAGTCCCCTGCACGAGGGCCTCTCCTCGCAGCCTCCACGAGCCGGGAATAACCACTGAAGCCCATTAGGCTGTCGTGGGGTTTAAATGGGATCATCCCACGGGAGTCCTCGGCCGAGCACCTGGTCAATCGCACCTTAATAAATAAAATGATTTCACAAACAAACAAGCTTCTGGCTGAGCTCCAGACACCGCGGCCTCACCGTCTTGCTTTGAGGGCTGAAGGGCATCTCTCCCTGAACTGGACCACCTCCAATCATCTCTGCCTCCGCCCCAAGCTGCTCCCCGCTCCCCCTCCTCCCTGCTCTTCCCCCCCTCAGGGCACATGGGATGGAGCCCCCCAGCTGCTCAGGCAGCATCCTTGGCCTCATCCCTAACTTCCACTCAGTCCCCACCTTTGCTCCACTAGCAAAATTTGTCAGCTCCACCTCCACGTTAAATCCAGAACCACCCACTGTCCCTACCCTGGTCTGACCCACCCTCCTCTCCTCCAGGACCAGCGCAGTCACCTCCTCTGGCTCCCTCTGCGGTGGTGTCCACGCGCCCGCCAGAGGGCGCCCGTCAACACCCAAGTCAGCTCAGTCCCTTCTCTGCTGCGAGCCCTCCCGGGACGCCTGACTCGCTCAGAGTCAAAGTTCACCTTCTCGCTGTGACCGCACATCTGGCTGCCCTCCTGCTCTCATCTCTCCTGCCCTCTCCTCCTCGCTCACCTCGCTCCGGCCCTACTGGTCCCCTCCTCTCTGTTCCTCACCCCCACTCCACCCCCGAGCCAGCTTCTGCCAGGTCTGCAAAGCAATGTCTGAGAGTGTGACGTGCGTCTTTCTCTCACTGAATCCCCACGGCAACCAGGCAGGTAAGTGAGACGGTGACCATTCGGCGGGGAGGAGACCCGTGCTCAGGGAGATGGGGACGGTTGCCAAGGTTGCACAGCCAAGTACACAGCTCCAAGCCCGGCACTGGATTTAAAGCCGTGAGCACGCAAGGTAAGACTCTTTGGAAACTGGTGTGTCAGAGGCGGGAGAAGGCAACACACAAAAAGTAATGACAAGTAAAACAAGTCATTTCTGCCGTGTGTCAGAAGGTGCCGAGCGTTATGGAAGAAAGTGAAGCAGCAAAGAGGGAAGGAGAGTGGGTGGGAGGGTGTGGAGGCGGCTGCGGTTTTAAATGGGGACCAGGGAAGTCCTCCCTGAGGGTGATAACTGGGCGGAGCAGAGAAGCCGAGGGAGGGGGACACCCGGGCAAGAGCATTCAGCAGGCGGTGTTGGAGGGGCCGACAGTCTCCAGATAATCATATACACAAACGCCCACGGAGTGCCAAGTACTTACGAGGATGATACCATTTTAACCCACACCATAACCCTTCGCGGTGGGTACTACTACTCTCTCCGCTTTACAGGTGAGGAAACTGAGGCCCAGGGCAGGGCCTCCCCCATTTCCAACTCATAGCTGTCAGTGTACACCACAGTGCGTGAAGCCATGTGCGTCTGCGCTCATTACCGCAGTGCCTGGTATACAGTAGGTGCTCAATAAACACAGAAGGGATGACTGGTAGGGCTGGGAGAACAAAAGCCACCCCCCCCATGACACACATGCACGCACGCACGCACACACAGACACACACACGCACGCAAGACAACTGGGTAAAGGGGGTCCACACAGGCTTGTGCGTCTCACCCAGCCCCCGTGGGCCTGGATCCAGGGCGCGAAGCTGTGCACGTGCTCCACGCTGAGTCCAGCCAGGGTGCCCCCCAAGCCGGCCACGCGGCGGCTCAGCTCCATCGCCAGGGCCAGGCGGGCCAGGGGCTCCGGGGAAGGCGGCGGGGGCCCGGGGCACGGCGACAAGGGGCGTGCGCGGGCGGGGCACGGGGCGCCCTCGCGGCTGGAGAACAGCTCCACCAGGCGGGCGAAGGAGCCGGCGGAGAGGCGGGCCAGCTTGCCGCGCAGGGCCGGGTCCGAGGCCAGCTGTGGGGAGGCGGGGAAGAGGCAGTCACGCCCACGTGGCCAGCCAATAGGAACATGAAGGCGTGGCCTCCTGGCGCAAGCGTGTTCTGGATACGCGCTAACGCTCTAAGCCACGCCCCTACCCATCACATCAACCAATCATAAGCCAGACTCTATGCTCTCTGCCAAACTCCTCCCAGAAAGGTGGCCTAGAACCCGGAAGCTAAGCCACGCCCCTGCCGAGGCCTCAACAGCCAATGAGGGCCAAGCTCTATATTAGCTGAGTTCTAGAACGCTAATCTTCCAGATGGCTTCTAGAAGAAGCTGCCGGTGGGCTTCCTTGAGAGCCCCAGAGGCCAGGCTGGTGTCTGCAACCTTGCCTTCCACCGTATAATTAACATAGAACCACACACTGCCCGAATCCTGAGCTGATCAAATTCCAGAACAGAGTCACAAGCCACCCCTCCTCCAGCGGTCCATTTCCCCCACATTCTAAGCCATGCCCATGACTGATATAGTCAATCAGAGCTTCAGATTTTAGCCAGCCCTCTCCAAACCACCTCCCCACCACCATACATTTCCTTACTTCCTCAGCGGGTTCCTGTCTCTTTGCTAGATCCTGTTTCTGATGGCCACACCCCCGTCTTTAGGCCACGCCCCTCTAACGATCAATGAAAGCCACTAATTTAAGGCACTGCCCTGGCCATCCCTCTGTCACTCAACCATTCTGTGAAGCCTTGTCCCACCCTCTCTCCACCCGACCATCCGATCAGAATGCAGATCCAGCTTCTGATCCCAGTGCCCAACCATGCCGGAATTCCCATCCCAGCTAAGGGATGGAAAAGACCGCTCATCACCTTCTGGTTCATGACTTCTGCCTCCTCCTCCAGCAAGGCCACCAGCCTCCGCAGCAGGGCTTCCTTTTCTGTGGGCGGGGGACCCTGTAACTCTGGGGGGCAGAAGAGAATTCGGCTGAGGGCAGAACCCTGGCAACCCTTCTACCTTCATCCTTCTCCAGGGCTCCCCTGGGCCTCACCTGGGCTAGGTGGGGATCTCAGTTGCTCTTGGACCAGTTGTTCCAGCCGCTGGGCCACCAGGGCATAGAAGTCTGGAGTAGCTGGGCCTGGGGCAAAAAGAGCCAATGATGGGTCTTCACACGACATCAGGAAGTTACGGATTCTCTCCTTCTCCCATTCACTTGCCAAGTAGCAATGATTTCCATTTCATAATGAGGTAAATTGAGGCTAAGTGAGCAAACCTGGCAACAGACCCTGTCCTTTCCACTTTATCATATCCCCTAAACTGGACTTGGAATGTCATAGCTGAACCGAACCTTGAAGATGACCCCATCCAAGGAAGGCAAACAACATGGCGGCCCAGCTATTATCACTATAGCCCCGCCTGTTTCAGGCATCATCAATCGATCACAGACCTCTTCTTCCCAGTTGGGAAATCCTTTTCAAGCTACTACTTCCAGTAGCCATTACTAGTCTATCCAGGCTCGCATAAGAGAGGAAACCTGTTGGGCACTCTTATCAAGTCCACTGAGCCCCTATTCCTATTTGGTAGTGGAGGAACACAGAGCCGGGAAGAAAACGATTTTCCCAAAGTCCTGTAACCAGCCAAGGAGTTGTGGTTGAAAAGTAGGTCTCCTGCCTTCCTACTGGGGGTACTGGTGGCTGCAAAAATCCCAAGGGCAGGGATGCAGAATTGATGCTGTGAGCCAGCTCACAGAACTGACAGATCGCGAGTTACCGGGGGCGAGGGGGAGCACAGAATGGTGACGGTAGGTGCTGGAGACCCCACACAGCTATCCTCCTGGATGAGTGCTCTTTAACTAGTTCCTTATCCTGTCTATGCTTTCAGAGTCAAAGCTAGCTCATGAGCGACCTAGGGAATCTCTTACCAGGCTCTGAACCATAGCAGGGGTGGAGGGGCAAGGAGCAAGGCCGAGGGGATTCAGGCTGAACTGCTCCTCGCCCCAGGGAGCAAGGAAGACATCTTCGAAGGCGGCTCAAGAAGTCTGTTGGCTCCTCCTGGGCAGGGCTCCTGGGGAAGGGGACCTCAGAGAATGACCCAGAGGTCCCTTGCAAGCAGTCTCATTTTCCTCCCACTGAGGGCCTCTCCCTGCAACCCCAGAAACAAGGAATACAGCCAGATATAAGGAGAGGGGAAAGAGGGAGACTGAGACCAGGAGCAAGAGTTAGAGAAGGTCCCACCTCAAATGCAGGCCCCCGAGGGAGGAGGGCAACTCCTCTTACCTGGCTGGGGTTGGAACGAGGGACCCGGCAGCCTCACCTCGCCTAAGGAAGGCAGCTAGGACCCTCAGCGTGTCCTCCCGGAGCCCCAGCTCTTCCGAGCCTGCCATGGGGGCACCTGTGAGAGAGGGGGCTGGGGAATGAACTCCAGGCTTCAGCGGGAAGTGGAAGCTCGGAGCCCAAATTCCTAGTCCCTAAATGAGGAGGGGGCCAGGACTCGTGAGTCCCCAGAGACGAAGGGGCTGAGGGCCTAGACTGTTAGGTCCCTTAGGGTAGTTGGGGTATGGGAGCCTAGACTCTTGAGTCTTCAGAGGGAGAAGATGGATGAGGAAGGAGACTCCTTGATCCTGGGATAGGAGGAGGCTGGGGATCTCGATTCTTGGGACTAAGGGAGGAGCGGGCTGGGGACCTGGACTCTTGAGTTTTCGGAGAAGAGGGCTGGGGGTCTGAACTCCTGTATCTGAGAGAGAAGGGGACTGGAGCCTCAGAGCCCTGGGTCCCCGAGGGAGAAGGGGGCTTGGGGCTCCAACTTTTGCATTCTGAAGCCATATAGCCAAGCTACTCAAGCCCTTAGAGGATCGGGAACTACCAATCCCAGCAGGCTTCATGGCAAACATTCCCCTCGGTCCGCACTAGTTCGCCGCGCAGCCTGCTGGGAGGTGTAGTTCCACTATCTGACTCCGGCTGGAACTCTGGGGACCCAGGACACTTGGATGTCGGAGAAGCGGGACTGGGGTGCCCGCTCCTGGGTCCCGGCCCCTTGCTCCTCCCTCCTCATCCCAGCCCTCGCTAACGTCCCGCTTACTTGGTCCCGGGCCCCGCCGTCCCCGTCTCTTCCACGGCTTGTGTAAACTTTTCTTTATGACGTCAACTTTCCCGCGCCTGCGCACTGGCCCGGATCGGTGACGGCCCGCACGCGGAAGGGGCGGAGCGCTAGGACTGCCTAATTTGCATGTGACGTTCCCAGCATGCCCGTGGCCGGAAGGCCTAAAAAGGGCATGGGACGGGTTACATCCAGGTTCCTGGTCCCGCCCCTTTGGCTCTGGTGTGTCGCCCGACTAACAATAAAGTTGTTTTTATTTCAAGAAATCGAGAGAAAAGAAAGCCCCACGGCTCTAGAGCTCAGCTGACGGGAAGGAGAGTGTGCAGCTGCGAGTTCGAGAGCTCCCGGAGCCCAAAGACGGGGGTAGGTCCCGGCGCCCCGCGCGCCCGCCCCTCTCCATCGGTGACACGGAAAAGCCGGGCAGTTGGTGGCCGCCGGGAGTGAGGAGCGCGAGGAAGGGTGGGTCTGCCCGGATAGTGGAGAGGGGGCTGTGTGCGCGCTGATAGTGGAAAGGGAAGCAAAAAGTGAAGCCATGGCCGGCGCTGCAGGTCGGCTATGAAAAAAACTTAGAAAAAGTAGCGGGGAGCCGGGGAGAGGAGGCGTCTACACTGGGGGATCGAGGGGAGAGAAGGGTGGAGTCTGCAAACCGGAGGCAGTCCACTCTAGAAAGTAGGGGCGTACCCCGGAGGAGGGAGGCTTGACTAGTTGGGGGGAACTGTGGATGGTGGGGTCTACGGTGGAAATGGGTGAGGGGTGCTGGGGAAGGGGGTCTGCACTGGACTGAGGGCAGGAGGTAGAGGTCTACACGAGAGTAGCGCCTGCCCTGAAATAACTGGAGGGGAGGCTCTAACTTGGAAGTGGGGGTCCTGCATTGGGTGATGTGGGAGAGGGAGGGGTTTACAATGTAAGAACGAAGAAGGGTCTGCACTGGCCGAATTGAGGGGGTAGCTTGGGGAAAGGAGGGGATCTAAAATGGATTTGGAAGGGAGTCCTCGCTGAACTGGGGAGCCTCTCTGGAGGATGGGAGGAGGAAGTCTCCTGTTTGTACCCCAGGAAAATACAGGCGCGGGACTGCGCCGCGGCCCCGTGAGAGGGAGGTGCGGGTGCGGGACCCTCGGGCCGGATGGGCCTGCGAGGCCGCCCGCGCCCAGGAGCTGCCCTCTGCGCGCAGGCCGGACCATGGGAACCCACAAGCCGCTGATCCTGCCCTGGCTGGTGTCGCAGCTGGACCAGGGCAGGCTGGAGGGCGTGGCCTGGCTGGACAAGGGCCGCACGCGCTTCCGCATCCCTTGGAAGCACGGCCTGCGGCAAGATGCCCAGCAGAAGGACTTCGGCATCTTCCAGGTGCGCGCGCGCGGGGACACAGGAAGCCGGGAGCGGCCGCCGGAGGCGGGGGGGACTCCGAGGGGGCGGGCCCGCGCGTGACCGGCAGCGCAGGTGGGCGGGGTTAGGGCGGGAGGGGCGGGGCTCGGAGGGGCGGCGGACTGGGGCGGTCAGGTTCCCGGAACAGAACCGAGAAAGCGCGGTCAGAACGCGAGGGAAGCGCATCCCGGGGGTTCGGGGCTCGCCGGGGGCGGGGCTCTGGGTGGTAGAATGCCGGGGGGCGGGTCTTGGAACATTCGAGGCCACACCCGGCCCCGAAGCCGAGGTTCCTTACCGCCAAATTAGGAGACGCCAGCAGTGGTAAACCGAGTTACAGCGCGAGGGGGCGGAGTTATTACTGAGGATGTCCTGGGGCAGGTTGGTGGCAGAGTTAGACACCCAGGAGGCCCTGGAAGCCTGGCTTAGAAAGCAAAGGAAGGTGGAGGTCGGAGGACTTGGGGCACAGAGAATCCGAGTCTGCGGATGGAATCTGGCCCGGTTAGAACGTGCCAGGGGAGAGGAAGGTGTCGGGCTGAGAGGAGGCAGGGTCAGGGCCCCTGGGCGGGGTCTAAGTCATCCTCCCCACCCTCCGGGTCCCTCTGGTCCCCCAGGCCTGGGCCGAGGCCAGCGGTGCCTATACTCCAGGGAGAGATAAGCCCGACCTGCCGACCTGGAAGAGGAATTTCCGGTCCGCCCTGAACCGGAAGGAAGTGTTGCGTTTAGTCGACGACCGGAGCAAGGACCCCCAGGACCCGCACAAAGTCTATGAGTTTCTGACCCCAGGTGTGCTGGAAGCGGGGCTTCGCAAGGAGGGATGGGATTTCCGGAGTCTCCAGCACCCCTAGTCCTAGCACTACCTTTCTCGACAGCGTTTAGGGACTTGGCTCAGCCCGACACCTCTCCAGACACCGGTGGCAGATGGAGTACCTGTGACACCCCCGTAAGAATGCGCCCCAACCCTCCTGCCCCCATTCTCTGCGCCATCCCCTCTCTGCATCCCTATCCGCCTGCTCAGGCCTCCTCTTCTGCCCCTGGACCGTCACCCGAGCCTGCATTCTCTCCCCTGCAGTCTGTCCCCCACCCGACCCAGAGCTGACACTGGCCCTCCCCAGCTCACAGCCCTCCCATGGCTTCCTGGCGTCTTCAGGAGAAAATTCGGAGTTTTCACCAGGCATTCACGGCCCTAGCACACCTTTCCAGGATGTCATAGCTTCCTTCACTGTGCAGGGTCTCCAGGAGCTTACGTCCCTAGCCGTGATCTTGCTGCTGTCTGTGCCAGGGTGGTCCCCTCTGAGATTGTGCCCAGCGTCCTCTGCCCAGGTGGTGGTGCATAGAGCCAGGTCCTTGGGCTGGCATGGGCTGCTCACCTCAGGCCATCACAGCACCCAGCGTATATCCGGGCATCTACTTTGCTGCCTGTGCCCATGGCTGTCTCTCCTGCCAAGGGCAAAGCCAAGTCTGTCTCCTCCCTGGGTCCTCACATTACTGAGCACAAGGCCTGGTCCACATGAAGTCTCCAGAAGAGGCTGCAGAAAGGCCCAGATCCTTTTTTTTTCCTCTCCAGAAAGCTACTGTGGAGGAGTTACTGAGTGACATGACTTTAGACCCATTCCTCGATGGGGGGCCCCTGAGCCTGGCTCTGGCTCCTGAGCACCCCCCTCAGCTCTTGCTGAGCCCCAACCTAGACATTCCTGGCCCCTGCCCGAATGTGGAACCCGCTGAAAACCCACTGAGGCAGCTGTTGGTGCCCGAGGATGGTGCGTGCCAGCTGTGGGGTGGGAGGGGCCGGGGCAGCGTCCCCCTTACGCTCTCTCAATCTCTCTTCCCCTCCCCATCCCTGCCACTCGCTGCTGCCACCCGCTCAGCGTGGGAGTTCGAGGTGACCGCCTTCTACCGGGGCCGACAAGTGTTCCAGCAGACGGTCTTCTGCCCGGAGGGCCTGCGGCTGGTGGAGCCCGAAGCAGCCGATGGGACACTGCCTGGGCAGCCAATAAGACTGCCAGACCCCGGGGTGTACCTGACAGATGGGGACGTGATGAGCCTTGTGAAGCGCGTACTGAGCAACCTGGGCGGGGGACTTGCCCTCTGGAGGGCAGGGCAGCAGCTCTGGGCCCAAAGGCTGGGGCATAGCCACGTGTACTGGGCCATGGGCGAAGAGCTGCTCCCCGACAGTCACGGGCCCAGTGGTGAGGTGCCCAAGGACAAGGAAGGAGGTGTGTTTGACCTGGGGCCCTTCGTGGCAGGTGAGTGACTCGAGGCCTTCGCTGTGCTGTGGAAGGAGCGGGCCACGGTGGTTCAGGACTCTGGGGTCAGGGAGTTGGGGATCGGATTCAGACCCTGCTGCTCTGCTTGCGGTGGAACCTGGGGCAAAGTTCCGGACCGCTCTGAGCCTGTCAGGTCTGACGACGGTCTCCTCTCTCCCCCGACCTGCTTGGACCCGGTAGGAGGCACAGGGCTCGGGGTACAGAAGGTGTGCAGGGAACGAGCTGCCTGAGTCGTCGTTGTTATTACCAGTCATTACGGTGGGGGGACAGGCACAGGAGAGCATCCTACAGGGCTGTGCCGTCCAGCAGACCTTTCTGCAGTGATGGCCAGGCTCTGGCTTTGCACTGTCCAGTACGGTGTCCATAGTCACAGGTGGCTGTTGAGTACTTGGGTGAGGTGAGTGCACCTGAGGAAGTGAGTTTTAAGTCTTATTTGATTTCACTTGGTTAATTTAAACAGCCACGGTGGCTCATGGCTTCATAGCGACAGTGTGGCCTCAGGGGGTTCAAGAGCAGTCACCACCGACCACCTTGTACTCCAGAGTCACTGGGCATCCCTGGGGGAGTGGAGTCCCCTCCCGGGCCTGCTTCCCCATCTCACATACTGAGGCTCTGGGGTTGGGGGGGCCAGAGCTTCCAGCCCCACCCTGATGGAAGGGAGGGAGGAGGAACATTCAACTTTGTGCCAGAACTGCCGGCGCTTTCCCAAAGTCCGCAGCCCCTTGGTTGTGGTGGTAGACGTATGTGGGGTGTTAGGTCAGGATGTTACTCAGGTGTGGAGGGAGGGGCAGGTAGAGGGTCTCCCTCCCATCCTTGACTAGGCTTCTGGGCCCCCAGATCTGATTGCCTTCCTTGGAGGAAGCAGACGCTCGCCACACTACACCCTCTGGTTCTGCTTGGGGGAGTCGTGGCCCCAGGACCAGCCGTGGACCAAGAGGCTCGTGATGGTCAAGGTGCAGCAGCCCTGGGCTCCAGGAGCTGAGGGGTGGATCTTACCATGGGGAGGAGGTTGTTGCCAGGAACTACAATTCCCAGAAGCCCATGTGGAAACTACAACTTCCAAGAGTCTTTGTAACCACCAGTTCCTTACCCCCGGGAGCTCTGGGTGTCCCTCCCATGACCTAACCCCCAGATCCTGTTTTGAGCTCTTGAAACTATGTGGAAGTCGGGGGACTACAAGTCCTAACAGCCTCTGTGAGGAACTACAGCTCCCAGGAATCCTTCTGACCACAAACTGCTCAGCTCTAGTTTCTGGGAACCCCACTAACAGCCTCAGCCCTGGGAACCTTCTCTGATCTCCCATGTTTGTGACTATGGGGGAAACTACAACTCCCAGCAGTCCTGGGCCTAATGGTTCATCCTGGGGTACACTGGGGCCTGCTGGGAGTTGTAGTCCATGCCCCCACCACCACCAGCAGTGTTGGGTGTCTCCCCTGACTCGCATTTCTCCCCCACCTGCTGCAGGTTGTTCCCACATGCCTCAAGGCCCTGCTAGAGATGGCGCGGATACAGGGTGCCTCCTCAATGGAGAACACTGTGGACCTGCACATTTCCAACAGCCACCCCCTCTCCCTCACCTCAGACCAGTACAAGGCCTACCTCGAGGACCTGGTGGAGGACATGGATATCTAGGTTCCTGGGGAGGCCTGGCCTTGTCCTCATGGGTGCAGGCCCCTCACCCCCGACCTCAGCCAATAAACTGGTTCTTGCCCTGGTCACCACTTGTGTGTCTGGTGTTCAGTGTCCCCAGGCCAGCCCTGACCCAAGGTGGGCATTATTCCTCCTTAGGGCCTCAGTTTACCCATCTGTGCAGGCCACTCACAACCCAAGTGCTCAGTGCATGAGGGCCAGGCACTGAGCAGGGGGCAGCCGACACCTTGCCTCTTCATGGGGACCTGGTGAGGAGGTGACAGTCACCCCCTTTTTACAAACCAAGACACTGAAGCTTGGAGAGGAGCAAAGGTCACCAAGTTGGAAACAAGACGGGTCAGAATCCAGGTCGGACCCCAGGGTGGCCGCTCTCCGAGGGAGGCCCGGGGCTGAATCTGGAACCCACATGTTGCCTGTAAACTATTCGGGCCAGTGTCCAGTAAGCAGAGAGCCTTTGCCTGGCCCATCCTGTTTGTCCATGGCCTTGGGGCCCCTCCTGACTCCTGCGGGGGCGCCTCAGGCAGGTCCTCCTTCCTGGGCCGGAACGGGCAGTTGTAAAGGAGCTTGGCGCCCACCCGGCCCAGCGGCCCAGGTACCGCCACCGTTCCTGCCTGTGCCCGGGTCTGGGTGATGGGACTGACAGGCCAGCGTGGCCTTGGCTCACCAGGTGGCCCTTGCTGCTCTGTGCCTCGGTTTCCCTCTCCATCTCAAGAGAGTGGATTAGCTCATCCCAGTCTCAGAGGACTGGGAAGAAGAGACTCTAACTCAACAGGAGACAAAGATCCAGTTTCCAGGGCGACTGCGAGGCAGACAGACAGCAGCCAGGCGCCCTGAGCTCCGGCTCAGAAGACACTGACCAGGTGGGCCTGGGACCCCTGCCTGCCCTCACCACCACCTCCGGCCACTCAGCAGCAACGGCTCACTACACGCCCGGCGTGGGTCTCAGCGCCTCCCCTGCCTGGGGCTGTGTGAATCCTCACCAGGCCCGCTCCAGACACAGGGAACCCAACCGAGGCCCAGAGAAGGGAATGCGCTGGCCCCAGGTCACACAGTTGGTCTCCTGCTGACTACCCTCAGACTTGGGCCAAGCCCCCAGCGCTGGCCCTCCCCAACTCTTTCCCAAGTCCGTCTCTGAAAGAAAGGGCTAAAATCAGGGGGGCTTGGGGGTAACATTTCATGAAATCTTTAATGAAACTGGGGAGGGGCACAAACAGAGAGGAGGGGCGATGGGGACAGGCTCCAGGGTGAGGACCTGGGCAGGGGCGGGCGGGGCAGGGGGCTCTCCTCTTCCCCGCAGCAGCGCTCCCCCATCATCCCACTGACAGGGGAGGGCGGTGGGGACGCGGAGCCATAAATACGTCCAGAATTCCGAGGCGGCGCAGGAGGACAGGGGTGGCGGGGGGTCTCAGAGAGGGGGCAGGGGCAGGCCTGGGCCACCCTTGTCCGGGGGCCCCGGCTCCTTGGGCGGCCGGGGGGGCCCTGGGGGGTCCCCCGGCTTGCGGCCGTGCTTGCGGAAGTAGCGGTAGCGCTGGACGTAGGCCCGCACCAGGTTGCTCACCTTCACCGGGTTGATCTCCCCGCTTTTGCTGTGGCAGATCTGGGGGACGAGCGGCAGCTGCAGTCACTGGCGGCCCCCAGGGGCCCCTCCACTGGGACTGCTGAGCACAGCGGGGACTGGGACGGGAGCTGCTACCCCAGTGTCCCTACTTGTGCCCCTGATGCCAGCAGAACAGGCCCAGGTGGGCTCGAGGAAATCCTGTCACCCTCCTCACCTTCCAGGCTGACCCGCCATGCCTGTCTCCCCATCTGTGGACGTCTGTCTGCACACGTCCATCTCTCCGTCTCGTCCCCCTGCCCCCCGTGTATCTGCCCCCGGGGCCCCACCTTGTGGACAGCCTTCCTGAGGATGTCCTTGTACTCCTCCTTGGTGATGTCCTTCTTCTGATAGTACGGCTTGATGGCCAGCTTCACCTCCTCCACCGCCCGCTCCTGTGTGTGCAGCTTCTTCAGATACTGGTGGGAGAGACGGCGAAGGGCAGATGAGCCCCTGCAGGACCCGCGGCCTCCCTGACCGCCGGCTGCGCCTGGGGGTCAAGTCCTGCTTAGGGGCCGCCCTGTGCTCCCTTGCTACAGTCACCCTGGACCGCGGGCCAGGCCTGGGCCTCTGAATGTCACTGAGGATCTCTTCTAGGCTGGACCCTGGGCTGTCCGAGGTGGCCAGGACAAGGACACGTGGTCCCTTCCCTGACAAAGGTCACAGTCCAGCAGGGAGACAGACATTAGCCAAACAGTTATGACCGTTTTAATCCGACTCTACAGGGCTTGTTCTGATGGCAGCAGGAAAGCATGGCAAGCTTTTCAGGGGGACGAAGACTCAGAGAGGGCTCTCACGGCACCGCCCTGGCTCCTGAGTGGACAGCGGGCCGAGGGACACTGGGGGGCTGGGACCGGCTAGGAGCAGCGGAGACGGGGTGGGAGTTGAGCCGCGGGGCGGCCGGCAGTCTCAGGTTGTGGAGGTGGCACGCCCGTGTCGGAGTCCTGGTCCTACCAGTCCGAGGCTGGGATGACGGGCTGAACCCTTTAGCGGCTCACTGGTAAAATGGGGGGGGACTGTGGCGACACATGTGGAGGCGACAGCAAGGAGCCAATCAAGGGGAACCACGGCTGTTCTGAGGGTGATGGCCGCGAGGGGTGGCAGGGAGACCCCTAAGCCTGCTGGGGTGGAAGAGCCGCACCCCTCGATCAGGTCAGGTCTTCCTGAAACTGGACCCCTAGGAAGCCTCCAGCGGGAGAGCAAACCCAGCCAGAGCCGGGCCTTCTGTCCTCGACTTGCCCGAGCACAGGAGACAACAGTCGCCGCGGGAACCAATCCTGGGGAGGTTGCCCTCACAAGCCAGGCGACTGCTCCCTACAGCCCAGGGCTGGGGGAAGATGGGAATGGTAAACTGAGGCCTGGCACCCCAGACTTCAGGGCCAACACCTCGGACGACATGACGACGAGCATGCCAACGGAGCTGCTGGGAGAGCCACAGGCCACCTGGAGGGAAGCCTCAGGCCTCCCTGCCTGACAGGAAGTGGGTTTCTGAAGAGAGGTGGCCGAGAGAAAGGAGTTGTTCCCCATGCCCGTCTCAGATGTGACAAATGAGAATGCCAGCAGAGAAGGGACCAGCACAGCCTCCCTGGCAGAGCAAGGGACCCACTGCTGCTCACGGGGTCTGTCCTGGCCCTGTCCTGCAGCTCACAGCACAAGCCATGGATGAGTGGCCCTCCAAGCTGGGCGCTGCCTCCGCTCCCCGTCTGGGACTCTGCAGGAGCTTTCTTCTGCCTGCCCCCTGGCACCACACACGAGATGTCTACAGGGCGGGCAACGCCATCAGCTGGCGAGAGCCTGACGGACCGTAAGGAAAAGCGTCCAGACTCGACCAAGAGGAAAACAGCCCCGAGGCCAACGAGGAGCAGCAGATGTGGCTGGATGAAAACCTGTTCGTATCTGCCCAGCACCAGGCTTCCTCCTTTCGCCTATGCACAGACGCTCGAGTTTTCTCATGCAAACCACCCTCCCCCTTACACAAAAACATGGCGGGGGGCGGGGGGGACAGATAGATAGATAGATATGGGCAACCCAGGGGCAGACTGCAGTGGGTACGTGTGTAAGTACGTGAGGGCGTTTCCGTCCATGTCGGCATCTCTCTGTAGAGATACACACACACACAGACACACGCACGCACGCGCATGCACACACAAACACACACACACACACACACACACACGCGTGACTGTTTGGAAGTCTGCCCAGCACCGGTGCCCCATTCCTCCTGCGCCTGCAGTTCAGGTCTCCACACAACTTAACGACTTTGGCTTTATCTAGGTTCCCATCTGCTGGCCCCGGCCTCTGCCAGTCTCCTCGGGCCCCTGCATCTTAGTGTCTGTTCCCGTTCTCTGCAAAACTGTCACCAGCAACCCACCTCTCGCAAGCCTGGCTCACCTTGTCTGTGTCCCCACGTCCCTCGGAGCTGCTGCTGCCCTCTCTCTTGTCGGACGCTGCAGCCAGCCCAGTGGGGGTGGGAGGCGTGGAGCCGCAGCCCGCCAGGGGGAGGCTGCCAGGGAGCAGGTAGCTGGAGGGGCCAGGGGGCAGACCCAGAGAGGTGGGCACAGGAGCTGGGGTCACCCCCAGACTGGAGGGGGGCTTCCGGTGGCTGAGGATCTGTGGGAAGAGGTTGGAGGATGAACACAGGGAGGTGGAGGGGAGGAGGGAACGCGTACCGCTCTTGTCCCACCCTGAGTTCCCAACAGTCCCAGGGGCCACAGCTCCTCTTCGGGCCAACACCTCACCCCAAAGCCTGCCGGGAGTCAGGCTTCCTCTCCTAACCTGGGGCAGGGGACAAGCAAAGGGGCTGAGGGGACCCTGCCCCAGGGGAGCCCACCTGGTTGGTGGCCTGGATCAGCTCCTGGGCCTTTGCTCGGCTCGCCAGGTTGGCCTCCTCCATCTTGAAGAGAAGTGCAGTCACTGCAGGAGGCGGAGGGGGACGACAGGGGGACGGGCAGTGGACATGAGAGAAGACAGTGAGCTAGTGCCCTGCTGCCAGCTCCCGCCCCGGGCCCCTGGGTGGGCCACACGGGCCCAGGTTCAGAGCCAGGCAAAGGGGGCCTTGGCCACTGAGGACCACCCACACTCCTCATCTTCTCAGAACTCAAGAGGCCGGGGGGACATAGCCAGGGCACTCAGTGATGAGGTGGTGGCCGAAGTAGACTCCGTCTCCCCAGCCCCCCACAACCAGTCCTACCTCTCCCCACCTCTGTGGCCTGGCAGAGCTTACTGCCATCCCCCAAGGGACCCCACTCCCTGCTCACCCCATCCTTTCCAGTCCCTCCACCAAGCCTATCCTAGCCCACCTCTAGGAGGACCCCCAGGCCACATGCCACTCCTCATCTGTGCTGAGCAGCCACCCCTGCTCCCACCTGCCCTGCTCTCTCCCACTGCCCCCAACATCCAGAACCCCGCAGACAGACCCTGACGGACCCTCATCCACCCGCAGCCCTCCCAGCCCGGGTCGGCATCCCCACGGCCTCCAAGTCTGTCTCCATGGGACCTCGCCCTCCCCCACCCTGTCTGCCACAACCTGCCCTGGCGCCCCCAGGGGACACTCACAGGCCAGAACACCGCTGGTGGTGCAGTCCACCCCAGCGGGCAGGTTCCAGGGCATGGGCGGGGGCAGCGTGGGCAGCTGGGAGACCCGGGGGGCTGGCCCATCCTCCGCCCCTGAGTCGCCGGCTGTGGACCCTGCACTGGGGGCGGTGCTGGGGGCAGCAGCGGCCGTGCTGGTGGCCGTGGTGGTGGCAGGCTGCTGCTCCTCCTCCTCCTCCTCTTCCTCCTCCTCCTCCTCTTCCTCCTCCTCCTCCTCCTCTGCCCCACCGCGGACCCCAGCCTCCTCGGTGGCCTCTTCGGGCAGGAAAGAGACCTCGGGTGTCTTGCAGCTGCTGTCCACAGTCTGGGAGTCGGGCGTGAGCGCAGGGGGCGGAGGGACTACCTTGGGGGGCGGGGTGCTGGGGGCCTTGGCCGGCCGCTCCTCCCCGGACCAGGAAGTCTCCTCGGCCCCCTTGGCTCCGGCCGCCTGGCTGCAGCTATCCGCCTTGGACTTCTTCAGTGTCCCGGGGCCCCCGCTGCCCCCGCTGCCGCCCCCGCTGCGGATCTTTTTCCTGGTCTTGGATGGCTTGGTCTTTCCCTTGGTCCCCTTGGCTTTCTTGGCCCCGGCCTTGGCCTTGACCTTGGTCTTTTTGGGCTTGGTGCTGCCCGGAGCTGCTTTGGCCACTTCGGCGGGGGCCCGCTCATCCGGCTTGAGGAAGGGGGAGCGGCTCTCGCGGTCGCGGCTGAACTTGACTCCGATGGAGCCCAGGCCGGCGGACGCGGCCTCCTTGGCTGGCGTGGTGCTGCTGACGCCCTCGCGGATCAGCACCGCCACCTTGGACTGCAGCTTCACCTTCCGCGAGGACGAGGACGACGACGAGGACGAGGAGCCCGAGCCGCTGCTGACCGGGGGCTTGGGCGGGGGCCCTGAGGAGGGTGCCGACTCCTTGGGGGGCCGGGCCTTCTTGGATGACCTGTCCCTGTCCCTATCTCTGTCCCTGTCCCTGTCCCGGTCCCCTCCATCCAGCGCCTTCCGCCGCGATCCCTTCTCCCGGGAAGAGGAGGAGGAGGAGGCGGCCCCAGAGCGGCGCCGGTCCTTCTCGCTGCTCTTGCCGCCCCGCTCCTCGGCGCTCAGTCCCTCCGAGTCATACAGGACCTCGCGCTTGGGCGACGAGGCCGGGGCCGGGGAGGGGCCTCGCGGGTCGGACTTGTCCGGCCGGCCCACCGTGATGGTCCGCTTGATGGCGAAGAGATCGTGGTCCGTGAGGTCCTGGATGGAGGGCGGCACGGCCCCGCGGCGGCGGCTGTCCCTCTCCGCGCCCAGGGAGGCGGAGCCCGAGGGCGGCTGCGCGGGCGCCGGGGCCTTGTCGCTGTCCCCGGACCGCTTCTCGCCCCGGGACCGCGACCGCTTCTTCTTCTTCTTGCTGCCGCCGCCGTCCCGGTGCTTGCCGCGGTGCCGTTCGCGCCTCGACGACGACGACGAAGACGTTGCCGGGGGCGGGGAGGCTGAGCGCCGCCGCCGCCGCCGCTTCTCCCGGGAGCGCGATCGGCGGCTGCCCCCGCGGCGGCGCTCGGGGCTACGCGAGCGGCGGCGGGCGGAGGGGCGGCGGGCGGAGCGCGAGCGGAGCGGGAGCGCGAGCGGCGGCGGGCGGACGAGGCGTGGGAGCCGGGCTTGCGGTCCCGGGAGCGGTGCTTCTTGGAGTCCCAGGGCGAGGCGGGCGCCGGCGGGGCGGGCTGCACGCCGGCCGAGGCCGCAGCTGCCTCCTTGGGCTCCCCGCCGCTGCGCTTGCGCTCCCGCCTCGACTTCTTGCGGGTGGGTGGCCCGGCGGGCGCGGCGGCCGGGACGGCGAGCGCTGGCGGTAGCGCTCCCGCCGCTGGGTCAGGATCTTGCGGCGCAGGTCCAGGCCGCCCCAGCGTGTGTCGGCCGCCGGCGGCGCCGGGGCCGGCTCCCCGAGGTCCACCTGCAGGGCGCCCTCGCCGTCCGACTCGGCGTGCAGGGACAAGAAGTCGTCGCCCTCGGGGGCACGGGGCGCGGGCGGCGGGGGCGGGGGCTGGGCGGCGGGGGGCGCGGAGGCGGCTGGAGGAGGGCGGGCAGCCCGGGTGCGGAAGAGGGAGAGCGCCACGCGCGGCTCCTCCTCGGGCTGCACGATCTCGCCCTCTTCGATCTCTGAGTCGCCGGGCGGCAGCAGCGGGGGCGGAAGCGTGGCCCCGCCGGCCGTCACCACCTCCACCGAGACCTTGCCTTCCCGACAGGCCTCCGCCTCGGTCCCCACCACAAAGACGCGCCGGCGGGTGGCTCCTTCGGCCCGGGTGGAGTCCGCCTGGGGTGGCGTTCCAGGGGCTGGAGTCGGCTGCGGGGGCTGGGGATCCGGGCGGGGGCTCTCGTCACCTGGGAAGTCCTGGCTCAGGCTGTTGTCATCGTAGATGCCCGCCAGGGTCTCCGAGATGCGGCTGATGCTCTGGGACAGGCCTTCTTCCTCCTCTTCCTCTTCTTCCTCTTCCTCTTCCTCCTCCTCCTCCTCCTCTTCCTCCTCAGGGGAGGGGGTCCCCGCTGATGAACTGGGGTTGGAACCAGTGGGCTCGAAGGGGTCGTACTTCTGCTCCGGAGCGGGTGGTGGGGAATAGGCCTCGTCGGTGGGGTGGAAGGGGTCGTAGATGTCAAACCGGGGGGCAGGCGGGGCCGGGGGTGCTGGAGGTGGTGGAGGGGGAGGAGGGGAAGGGGAGGATGATGAGGGGGAAGGGGAAGGCGAGGAGGACGCAGAGGAGGGGGCAGGGGGTGGGGCAGGGCCCCCGTCTCCGGTGCCCAAGGTGAGGAGGTGGCGGGCACAGGGGGGTCGAGAAGAGTGAGACTGTGGAGAAACTGCAAAGGAACAGAGGACACAGAGAGCCAGGATCAGGTGCACATCCCTCCTCCCTGTCCCCCAGTGGAGGGGCCACAGGCAGGACAGCACCCCCCACCCCCAGCACCGGCTGCACCTGCAGGCAATCCCAGCACTTTACTGTGTGAGCTCTCGTAGGAGGCTCCCAACAAGTCCCCACTGTAGGTACTGCTACCCACGGGGCCCGGGAGGAAACTGAGGCACAGAGAGCTGCAGTATCTTCCCCAAGGGCACACAGTCAACAGAGAAAAGTCGGAGTGCAAACTCAGTCAAAGCGGCCTCTGAACCTGCACTCCCATATCCCGCTGGCCTGCAGCCCAAGACCACCCTGACCAATGGCAGCGGCGATGTGACCACAGAAAGCACAGCTGAGATGGGAGAGTCTGGGCTCACACCCGAGGCGGCCTGCAAGGCGAGCTCTGGCTGCTGCACCGGCTGCCTTTGCAGGAACCTATCCCGTGTCACAGAGGAGCAAGGTGAGCGTGAAAAGGTGGATTGCCCTTCCGGAGCCAGGAAGGGGCAGAGCTGGGGCCTCTGAGCGCCCGAGTCCCCACCCTGCACTCTGCACTCTGTGATGAGCCCTCGCCAAGGGGCTACCTCTGCTCAGGACTCAGAGCCATCATTGACCGGTGACAGCCACAACCAGCGTCCACTCCCTCCTACAGGCCAGGCGTCATGCTTTCTGACGCCACCTCCTCCACCCTCCTGAGACCTAAGCACTCAGGGCCACAAGTCACACACATGGAGACAACTGACCGCGGCTGAACCTGGGGCGGGCGGCCAGGCCAGGACTCAGACACATGCTCAGAGTCCAGAGGCCACTCTCTCGCCCACACGTAACTGCAAGGACCCTGCCCGGCAAGGATGCCAGCACAGCCGTGGGGACAGTGCCAGGGAAGCAGGGCATTGAGAGGGTAGCTCGGGAGACACCTCCTGATCTGGACCCCAGGCTCCAGCCCTCACCTGTGACATGACCGTCAGCCAGGAACTCAACCTCTGCCTGCCTCAACTTCCCCGTCTATAAAATGGGGCTTTGCTCATTCAGCCAACGCATTTTTATCCACCACCTATTTTGTGCCAGGCGCTGTCCAGGGTGCTAGGAGTAGGATGGTGAATAAATAGTGAAAAATCCCTGCCTTCAAGGAGTGCACACTAGAGTGAGGAAAGACAAATGTCAACAAGCCAAGCAGAGCCGGGCTGAGGACACAGGAGGAAAAGAAAGCAGGGCGTACGGGGCCGGCCCAGTGGCGCAGTGGTCAAGTTTGCATGTTCCGCTTCTCAGCAGCCTGGGGTTCACTGGTTCGGAACCCGGGTGCAGACATGACACGGCTTGACAAAAGCCATGCTGTGGTAGGTGTCCCATGTATACAGTAGAGGAAGATGAGCATGGATGTTAGCTCAGGGCCAGTCTTCCTCAGCAAAAGGAGGAGGAGAGGCAGTAGTTACCTCAGGGCTAATCTTCCTCAAAAAAAAAAAAGGGAGGAGGAGCTCACGATGAGAACGACAGCGTTCAGATCTCACCAGATGAGAGCACTAGATGAGCGGCGGCGGCACAGAAAGAACCAGACTGCGCCCGGCGCCACAGACTCTGAGCACGAGCTCCTACCCCCCCCTCGCCGTCATCACTGCCACCTGAAACATCCCCACAGACTGGAGTGCTCTGGAAAGACAGACATCCACTTCTTTACTTAATTCTCACGTGGGATAGGATTAGGGGCATTTTCTTTTCTTTTTCCTAAGTTTTCATCATTTGCCCAATGAAGACCAAAAAACTACTGGGAATAAGAAGATAAAGCAGTCGCCCTGAAGACAACTCTTAGGTTCCAGATACATCGCTATCACTGACAGCACACCCCCTGTCTGTGTAAATAAAGTTTTATTGGAACACTGTCCTGCCCATTTCTTTATTTATCCTCTATGGCTTCTGATTTTAAAAGAAATGAAAATACTCCCACCCTAAGAGTGTGGTGGGCCCCAGGCACCATGGCCCTTGCACCTAATGCGTAAGTCAAGCCGCAGCTCTAGAAAAAGGACAAGGGCAACGTGAACTGGCTCGGAAGGTGTGCGAGCCGCGTTCTCCAGCACCTTCCTCTCCCCTCCGCCCCTCCCCAAATCTGTCCGTACACGCAGAAGGGAAGTCTAAACCCAGGGTGTTCATCGGGGTCCCGGGGGGCCAGCGGCAGCAGCACCACCAGGAAACTGGTTAGAAATGCAAATTCCCAGGCCCCACCCAGACCTGCTGTGTCAGAAACCCTGGGGGTGGGACCTGGGACCTGTGGATGAACAAGTCCTCCTGGGAATTGGCTCCACTTCGAGAAGCTCTGCTCTGCCCTGCTCACAGCTCGACTGCTGCGAGCGGGGCTGGGGGACCGACTCACTTGGGCAGGCGCACATCGCAGACATCAAACACTTGGGTTTTACACTCAGACGGCCCCAGACTTGGGGCTCAGGGCCCAGGACCACCATGAAGCCCCCGGCTGTGCCACCCTGAGCAAGTGACTTCCCTCTTTCAGACTTTTCTCCTCTGAAAGATGGAGACGCTAAGAGCCCTCCCTCCTGGGGAGATGAAATCCCAATGCAGTCAGACCGAGCACCACACACTGGCTACCGGCTCCCATGTGCTCGGTATCAGTCATCAGTTTTCACTTTACGTACATCCATACAGCCTAATCAAAGTCTAACAGGAGAAAAACGGTAAAATAAAGATCTTGTCTAAAGGACACGATCGTCACTACTATTCCTACTAACAGTGGCTGGCTCCCGCCCAGCTCCGCCCTGGCACCACATACCCGTTTTGCCCGTCCTCCAGGCCCTGAGACGGGGTAGCAGGCTGGGCACGGGCAGGGGCATCGGATCCCTGTCCCCAATTCGGACCTCGGCCACCAGCTCCAGCATGTCCTCGCTCCTGCAAGGCAGAAGGGGAGAGTGAGCCTTGGGGCGCCTCTAGCTCCCACCATCGGGGCCTCGCCCACTCTGGCTGCCCAACTACTCACTCGCCAGGCCGCAGGTCCAGGTGGCTGGGGACCCAGGTATCCGGGGGATCCAGGACACTCACCAGCCCCGCGAGGAAGCTGTCCGCGGCCATGTCCAACACCTGGAAGAGGCCAGGAAGGGTCCCATCCTGTCCGTGCTCACGTGAGGACCGCAAATCCCACTTCCCCAGCCCCTGACCTCCCAAGAATCCAGCCATCTGAGACCCCAAGGAAATGTGGGGATCCAACCAATTCCCTCATCCTGACTGCCTCCAGGGCCCCCAGACCTACAACACTGCCTCTGATCAGCACCCCAGCCCCAGGAGTCTGGGTCCCCACCCGTCTCCCATCTCAGGCATCCAGGCCCAGGAGTCCGAGTCCCCAGCACCCTCTTCTTACTCACAGTAGCCGTGTCAGTCCCCCCTGATTCCTGGGAACGGGGCTCTGACCGTGGGCTCCGGCAGCGCCTCCATCGAAGGCCGTGACACCGAGAGCCATCTGGAGAGAGATTGGCATGGGGGAACTGGAGACAGGGCACTAGATGCAGAGACCTTGTGGGGCAGAGGAAGAGGAGCCTGCCCTGGCTCGCCACAGGGCTCCAAGCTCCTGCCCACTCTGCAGGCTTCCATCCACCGCCTCCCAACCTGGGTCCCAGAAAGACCTCCCCAGCAGCCTTCTGAGGCCCCAACTCTCTCACCCATTTGTCCTCCTAGCCACCCATAGGATGCAGTCCAGACAGGTCAGCTTGGCATCTGAGCCTTGCCGTGACCAGGTCCCCACGGACCTCCCCTGCCTCCCTCCTGCTCGTGCCCCCTTGCCCACTAGCTGCTAAAATCTACAACTGAGGCCTGTGACACACCCCTGTGCTGTGCGCCTGCTGCTGCCTCTGCCTATCGGGCTTTCTTCTTTACCAGACAACTCCAATACATCCTTTGAAACCCAGTTCCCTCTTGCCCCCTCTCAGAAGCCTTCCAGGACCCCGTCCCCCTCCATGCTAGCTTGGCTGGGCCTCCTGCCCTCCCACAGCGCCTCGGGCTACCTCTGTGCTGTGACCGTGTCTCCCTCCCACCAGACCATGAACCCCTCCAAGGCAGCCACGGGGGCCGAGCCATCTTTGGCTCTCTGTGCCCGCACAAGGGTGGCACCCAGGAGGCCTCAGAAAAGAGTACATGAGTGAAATCCGGAGAAAGAATGCAGGGATAGGACAGCGGGCTCAGAGGACCAGGACCCGTCCTACCTTTATCATTTGGCAGATCTCCCTGCAGGGAACTTCCCATGGCCTGCTGAATAGCCCGCTGAGGAGAAGGAGGGCGAAGGGGGTGAAAAGAAAGGGCTGTCAGCAGACTCTGGCAACAGCCACGAGCTCTGCTCCTGGGAGACGGCCATTTCAGAAACCCCTACAACCAAACTCACGCTTCGGAGGAGCCAAGAGGCCAGGCCCCAAGCCCCTCCTCCCCCCCAGGGCCCAGGAGTCTGGCCCTGGAATCGAGACTCCCAGCCCCACCCTCCCTCAGCCCCAGGCCTCTGGCAGCCTCACCAGGATGAAGGCAGACGGGGAAAGCGTGGGGTCTCTGTCTGGAGGACCATCGCCCCGATCCTCGCCCGACTCTTCTGTCTTCCCTCGAGACTCATCTTCTTCCTCCATGGTCACCTGGAGGTTGAGGGGGGACAGTTTGGCGTGGAGGCTGGGGGAGGGGGAGGGAGTGGTGGCAGAAGGAGGTGAAGCAGAGGCTGGAGAGAGACCTCAAGGGCCTCCCATGCTGCCTCCATCAGCAGCCTCTTCAGCATCCCTGCTCTCCCTCTCCCCATCCCAGTCCTTGGCCCAGTACCAGGCCCAGAGCAGACACCCAAGGGGTGAGAGCGAGTCTCTTCCCTGGTCAGGATTCATGTCGAAGTGAGGCCTTCCCAGCCTCCTCCTGTGACACCTGACCCCCTAGTTCTCACAGCTTCCCCCAGAACCAAACTTTCACACCTCATTGCCCACCCTCATGGGAGCCCACCCAATGCCAAGATTTGTTTCTGCTGAGTTGTGGTTTCAAATAGTGTGTCCCTCAGTCTCATAACCCCACCTTTCCCAAACTGAGGTGTGTGCCAGGGTGCTGGGGGAGCCTTAACCACGACACAGCTTCCTAAAGCGTCAATTTTCCTCGATGGTGAGGGGCCAAAAAAATGTATTTACATACATAAGATAAGCTGGAACTAGGACAGAGTGATCTACAAAACCAGTACGCCCCTTTTAAAATGAAAACACTAATTTCAGAAAGCGATGCTGTCCCATGAGACCCCAGAGGGGGCAGCCACCTATCGCGTATCTGCCCATTGTACAGAAACAGGGCTGAAGCCTTGGCGAGGTCATAGAAATTCTTAGATTCTGCTAAAGCTAAAAGATCATCCTTCAGTCTGGCGGCTGTCTTGACTAGGGCTTCAGAAAATAAGAATCTTTCAGCTGTAGGCTTCCCTGACAATATCTAGCCTCAAAGCTCCTAGAAACCTTCAAGACCCCTAACCCCCAACTCAGTGTGCTGAGTTGTAAACGGGTTCAGTAGGAGGAGCGACCTCAGAGAAAGGCTGTGAGAATTACAAGGAGACAGGCTTCCGCCACAGAGTTAGCACAGCCCAAGAACTTGACACGGAGGAACAATAATTATCATTACTAGCCTTTAAGGCCCAGGATTCCCCTACGCCCGTCTCCTCCAGGCCCCTAGCTGCATACCTTCATAGGAAAGACCTCCGTCCCGGGGCTCCCTCCTACTACAGATTTTCAAGTCATGCCAGAGCTCCCACGTGCAGCCTCCCAGCTCTTCAAGAGCCCTCACTCCTTCCCTAACTCCCACTGACATGGCCCGCCCTGATAAAGCCCTGTGGACAGTTCTCAGCCCTGAAGTTGCCCTCTAGCATCTCCAGGGGGAAGCCTATGCTAATGTAGAACAGTGACTGTCACATAACAGAAGCTTCAAGATCTGCTGACTACAGACACACAGATCCCAAACCCTTTGCGGGACTTGAAGATGCTCCCTCGCCCATTGAGACATGCCCAGGGCTTTGCAGACACACCCACGGCTCCTTAGATCTTTTCCCCACCAGAAGGTTCTGCAGACATTGCTAGGGCCCCCCAGATCGGTGTTTCCCAAACTACAGAGTCTCACGGCAGGACAGTGCTTGACAAATAGCTTGTTATAAAAGGTAAATCGAGCACAGGAGAAAATTCTTCACAGTACATCACAAGTAGTCATTGGAAATGTTAATTAATGGGACTTGGATATTAGTTAAATACATATGTCGGTATGTAATGGGTCTGAATGAGAAAATGTATTTCTTATTGTAGATCAAGGTCAAAAGAATTTGAAAAGCATCGCACTACATGATCTTATAGACTTTCCCAGACTAACGTGGACTAATTCTAACTCTCTCTACAGGCCGAGGGCAACGCAGCATTTTCAAACATTTTTCATTTGAATTATGTTCCAAAGGGCAAGACCATTTGAGCTGGGCAAATTTTCCGATATTCTCCTTTGTCTTATTCTCCACGCGCTTATCTGGCCCCGAAAGGCATTCGAATTTGCTCCAGGCAGAGAGATTGCATTCTTGTAGTCACACTCAAAGCCACCTAGATGGTTCCAGGTCCTTCTAACTGCCCCCAGCCTCCTGTCACCCAGATTAGACACTCCCCAGACGTTGGAGACCCATGCAGGGCTCTCAGCACATCTCAATATTTGCCTCCCTCCCTTGGTGGGCACATCCCACCCCTCTGGGTGGCCCTAAAAGACTTTCTAGCCCTGGGTGGTTCCTCCAGGCCGGCTAAATGGCCCCAGACCCCTATGGGTGAGCTGCATCCTCAGGTCAGCCCATGCAGGTACTTCCCAGCCCTAGCAGACATACCCCAGGCGCTATAGATGGCTCTGCAGATACTCCTCAGTTCTTGCAGACCTCGTCCACCCCTGGGACATATCTCAAGATCTCAAGATGGCCCCAGAACCCTCTAAGCAGACCCTAGCCTCCGGTCAGTCCATAAAGACGATCAACAGTGCCTAGAGAAATGACCCAGGCCAGCTATATGATGGAGGACAGGCCCCAGTCTCAGTCCAGGCCCTGTGGAGGTCCCGGGTCCTCACGGGGACGCCCCGTAGATGCCCCCCGGCACCCACAGACGCCTCCCGGGGCCTGGAGAAGGCCCCCCGCTCGGCGCCAGGTTCCACCGCAGCTGCCGGGCCCGAGGCCGCCCCGCTAAGCCCTCCAGGCCCCGCGGCGTGTGCGGAGGACCCGGGGACAACTAGCGACCCGACTCCGCCCCGCCCACCCCGATAGGCCCGAGCCCCGCGGCCCGGACCTCCGCCGCCATCTTACCCCGCCGCTCGGGCTGCGGCTCCGGCCCCGGCGCGGGGCGGGGCGGGCTGGGGGGGCTCCGAGCAGAGGGAGGAGAGGGGCGGAGCTAAAACGCCGCCGAGCTTGCCGGGACTTCAAGTACCGAGCACGGTGCCGTGAAGGCTGGTGGGAAGCCTCCGGACTCAGTTTCCCAGCAGTCACTGGGGCATATGGGCAGAGGTGCGCGCGACGCACGCCGGGAGGCGTAGTCCGCGCGTCGCCTCCGTCGCGCGGGGACAGCAAGGGGGTGAGAGGTGAAGTGGGCGGGGTTGTGGTGGCCCGCGATGAGGCCCCACAGTGCCCTGCGCGCGCGCGGAAAGAGCTACGGAACAGGAAGTGACGTAAAGAGCACTCAGTGGGACAGATGCAAGGGAATTGTAGTTCAGCGGAGTGGCCGGGAGAAAAAAAAAAGCTGGACTGGCTGGGAGTTGCCCCGCCCACATTCTGGGGATCCCAGAATCCCGATGCCCCTGTCCCCTCTAAATTTGGAACCAAGGAACCCAGCCCTACAGCCTCCTCCTCATTTAGGATAGAAAATTAGGATAGAAATCCAAATTTCGATTCCTCTCCCGAGAGCGGCGGTGTCTGGACTCCCATTCCCCCCTCCCTGTGACTCAGGCATCTGAGCCTTCTTTCCTTAGGTCTAAGAGTCGGACCCTCAAGCCCTTCCTGCCTTAGACCATTCGGGGTCTCAAGCTCGTACCTTACACGAACACGAGTGTTCGTGTTCCCCACCCCAACTCCCTCGGATCCAGAATCCTGGGTCCCCTGCTCCTCCAACCCCTGGGCCCAAGATTCTGGGCCCCCAGCTCCCTCCTTTACAGAACCCCCAAATGCCCTCCTTCCCAGGACCCAGGAATCCAGGCCTCCATCCCCAGTCTCTCCCAGGGACCCAGGAGTCTGGGCCCTCAGCTTCCTCCTCTTTCAAGACCCAGAAAGCCTGGCCCTAGGCCCTCCATGACCCACGCGTCCAGGCTTGGACAAGCTGGCTCACGGATTAGGAATGCAGTGATCTCACGGCCCCTCCCTGCCCCGTTACCCGGCTGTCCCCCTCCAGGGCCCCATCTCCCCTCCCAGTCTGTCTTCCGCTTGGCTGAGACAGCGGGAAACGGAAGCCTGGGTCCCTTAGCGGGCGGAGACTCCAGCTTCCAGCCCAGACACCCAGGTCGGGAGCTTGGCTAAGATCCCAGGACCTGCTCCTTCCTCAGAGCGCGCCTATATACGGCCGCGCGCGAGTCGGCGAGCCCCGCCTCCTACAACCCGACCTCCGGGACGTTGCCCTGAGAGGCTGCATCACGGGCTTTCATTTGCATAGCCCCTCCCCGAACGATCTTCCTGACCCGTCTGCGGAAAGGATGAGAGTTCTTATTAGCATAGCCCCGCCCCCAGACGGCCCGCCAGCCGGAGCGCGTGGCTCCGCTCCCGGGGAGCACAGTCCTCTCATTAGCATATCCCCGCCCCATTCGGAATTCCCCTCCGCAGCGAGCGCCGCTCCCCTGCCCTTATTAGCATAGCTCCTCCCTTTCCCGGGCCTTGCCTCCTCCTTAAGTGTCCCAGGGCTCGAGCCCCTCTTTGGAGCTCATGATTATGCAGTAGCCTTATTAGCGTGGCCCGCCCCTAGGCCCCGCCCGGCTCCCCCCAGGCGGTAGCGGCGGCGGCAGCAGCGGTGGCGACATGAGCAGCGGGGCGGCGTCCGGGACAGGGCGGGGGCGGCCCCGGGGCGGGGGGCCGGGACCCGGGGACCCCCCACCCAGCGAGACACACAAGCTGGTGGTCGTGGGCGGCGGCGGCGTGGGCAAGAGCGCGCTGACCATCCAGTTCATCCAGGTAGTGGGCCCTCACCCGGGGGGGTGCCCCCGGGACCCAGAACTGAGCCCTTTGGGGGATCCCTGAGACCCCGAGTTCCCCTTGACCCATCACTGAGACCCTCCTATGAGGCCCTCTAATCAAACGATCCCCTCGGATTGTGACCCTGAGCCTCCCAGGGCCTCCACCCCCTAAACGAGAGACCATCCTCCTATATTCGCATCCTGAGACCCACACCATCTCTCCCCTCAGTACCCAAGACGCAGCTGCCAGGCTGACCTGACTCTGGGCACCTCCTGGGAGCACCCTAAACCTAGAGGAGTGGCCCCATTCAGACCCTAAGCACTCTCATGGGCCCCCACCCGCCTAGGCACCACCTCCCCTCACCCTGAGCCCCATCTCCCCCAAATCCCAGACCCCAGCTCCCCCTCTGAGCCACTCAGAGCCTAACTGGGAGAATGCCTGTGCCCAATGCCCTTGAGACTCCCCCAGTCGGGGCACTTAACCTCTTCAGGACCTCCTCCAGACTTTGCTCCTGAGACCTATCTGGGACCACCTAGTCCCGAGAGAGGCACTCTCAAACCCAAGAGATTTCAAACATCTCTTGCCCCTTGGCCACTCGGGAGAACTCTAAGACCCCAAATCCTGGGGATCCCCCATCCCGGCACACCCAGACCTCCATCCTCCCCCGAGGAAAACCAACCCTCCTCCATCTTGAGTTTTCCTCCACTGCGGTTCTCTGAGCCCTTCTCAGAAACCCTAGCTAGCCCCCAGATTCTTGGCACCCCCAGAAAGACTCGCTCCTTGGGAGTTTCTCTGACCCGATAGCATCTCAGGGTCTCTGACTCTCCAGACATGCACCTATATTCTAGGACAAACGGCCCAAACGCACCCAAGCTGCCTTGGGGCTCTCCCCCAGTTCTCATCCCTGAGTTTGTCCCCATGTGCTCTGAAGACACACCCCTAACCCCCCCAGGGCCTGGTCCCTACACCCTCTCTCCGGGACAAGCCCTCACCACACACCCGCCTAAGAGACAGGATGCAGCCCTCAGAGCCTCAGCTGCCAGATCACCCCTTCTCTCCTGAAAGTCCACCCCTACCCAGGAAACCTCTGCCCCATTCCCAAAGAAAACCCTCCCACCTCGGAGAAACCCTGGATAGGCGTCTGCTCCCGAGATGTTACCGGAGAGGCCCCTGGGCCCTACACCCCCCAGAGAGCCCAGCCAGAGCCTGCATGGGAGTCTCTGCATGTGGAGAGAAAGGCCGCAGCCCTTTGCACCCAGGGGCAGCCCCAAAGCTGGCCAAACGCCTTGCAGGAGGCAGGCGGGACCCAGGCAGGAAGGGAGGGGCCCGGCCTGCGGGCGGGGCAGCTTCTCCGCAGCCCGATTGGCACCGAGACCTTCCCCTGGGAGGAGACACTGGAAAAGCTGCCGGAGGAAAAGGAGGGGGAGAGGGAGGAAGAGGAGGAAGAAGAAGAAGAAAAAAAGGGGAGGGAGAGAGGAGAAGGGAGAGAGAGAAAGACAGGCAGATATTCTGGACAACAACTGCTCCCAATAACTAAGCATCTATTATGTCCAGATGATAGTTAAATGCTTAAGAGGGATTTCCCCTGAATCTCACAAACCCTGAATTAAGCGTAGTGCTATTTTTGTCCTCATTTTCCAAATGAGGAAATTGAGGTTCAGAGAGGGAAAGTGATTTGTTCAGTGCCACTCAGCCAGGACGTAATCACAATGTGGGAGATATCCTTTGTACCAGAAAGAGAGGGACTCAGAGAAAGGAGACTGGGGAGGGACAGAGACCTAGATAGGGGGGGCACAGAGATCCAGAAAGATGAGGGCAGAGAAAGGTGGGGCCCAGCGACAGGGCTACATGTCTCTGCTGAGGTGCTGCAGTAACAGTGTCCTCTCCCCACCCCACCAGTCCTACTTCGTGTCTGACTACGACCCCACCATTGAAGACTCCTACACGAAGATCTGCACGGTGGATGGCATCCCAGCTCGGCTGGACAGTGAGGGCGGCAGGGAGTGGATGGGGGGATGGTGGCGGGGCTGAGGGCTCTCTCCGAGGTGGTTAGGGGGAGCCCCGTCCCCACCACGGCCCCTCTCCCCCTCTCTGCAGTCCTGGACACCGCGGGCCAGGAGGAGTTCGGTGCCATGCGGGAACAGTACATGCGTGCCGGCCACGGCTTCCTGCTGGTGTTTGCTATTAATGACCGGCAGAGGTGAGAGGGGTTGCCGTGGCGGGGGGGGGGGGGGGGGGGGGGGGGGTCGGGGTGGGGACTGGGTCCGAGAGGCCGGCTGGACCTCACGCCTCCCGCTTCATCCACAGCTTTAACGAGGTGAGCAAGCTCTTTACGCAGATTCTCCGAGTCAAGGACCGCGATGACTTCCCCATCGTGTTGGTCGGGAACAAGGCAGATCTGGAGACACAGCGCCAGGTCTGGGAACTCCCCGGGACCCCATCTTGATTGGGGCTCCCCGGTCCTGCTCCCTCCATTGTCATGCACCTCGCTAGATGTGTTGCCCCCAAGCGGGACCTTCTCGGAAGGAAAGGCACTTCCCCACCTCCCCAGGTCGACGAGCCCCAACTCTCTGCCCTGTCCCCACCTCTTGTTCCCACCTGGACCCTAGCCTCTGCCTCCCATTCCTTCTCTCCAGTCTACCTCCCGCTCGCCCCCCTGTCCCCCTGCTCCTCCCCAGCTCACTGCCCTCCCATGGCTCCCTAGCACCCCAGGGAGACAACTCCAGCTTCCCCACCAGGCGCTTGATGCCCACTGTGGTCTTGTCCCTTCCTTTCTCTCCTCTCACCGCTTCCCTATATACACACACTGCCTGATTTCCACCCAGAACTCATCTTTTAGATTAAGCCTTTGGGGATTTCCAGCCCTGGGAGCTTTGCTCAGGCTTCTGCTGGGAACACCCTGCCTTCTCTGCCACACGAAGTCACAGTTAGCTATGGAACTTTCCCTCACTCCTTACTTAGATGGCACTGAGCCCCTTCGGCATCTCCC